CAAAAGACATTGAAGAAATTAGCATTTTAAATATGTATTTTTTTATAACTTTATCTCTGATACTTTAGACTCAACAATCCCGGTAGACACAATCACAGAATCCTTTAAGCAAGTGTCAGACCTTGGGAAATAAGGCATGGTCGTATCAATGATTCAAGACATGTTCTTTGAAATCATATAGCCCTGTGTTCCTGGAGGACGTGCTAAAAGAATTATCCCCTGATAACTCTTGAAATCAAATAGCTCTTTGCCATTTAGTTACAATGTGACTTTGGAAAGAATATATTACCTCTTGAGACCTAATTTTCTCATTTATAACTTAATTGATTTAGTATAATTAATTAATTATACTAAATTTGTAGGATTATTATAAGAAGTAAATAACATAATGAATAAAAAATTTATCATAGTACCTCTATGACATATTATAATTCTACTTGGATAGTTATATAATTATTATTTCACATCTGCTATCTTATTTAAAAATTGAAGCTTTTAATGGGAAGGAAAAGGGTAGAAGAGATGATCTATGTGGAGAGAAAACAAAATGTGACAGTTGTTTCCAACTAGAAGCCCAGTTTATTTAATATCCAGGCTGGCCTTTCCCCAGATTCCCCAGATGTCCCTCCCATACCTGAGTTTAACAAACATTTATTTTCACTTAGTTCACCTGAGACAAATTAAGGAAGGGACTTAGGGATTTGGTGCTTGGAAAGCTCTGTCAGTTAAGGAATCTAAGATCTTTATATCAGATTCCTTAACTGATGATATAAAGACTCAAGGGATTTTCCTTAAAAGAACACAATTAAGAGGTCAGCGATGTCCTAGGAAGCTGCCTACTTTTCTGTCTCTCATTTCATTGCCTTTTGTTATCCTAGAAAGTGATTTTTTTTTTATTTTCAGGGATGGCGCTTCCTAACTCTCCTCCTCTTTGCCTTTTTCCTTTACTGGCAAGACTAAGGGCTTTAGTGCTGCCAGTAAAATAGTACTGTGAACTCATAAAACCAACATTCTGAAAATAAAGCTGAATCTCATGGAACAGAAAAAAAAGGGGGGGGTTGTGGAGCCAAGAAAATTCCTTAAGGAGACAAAATACCTACTAGTGTGAAAAAAGAAAGAATGAATAAGAAAGGACGGCGGACCCAAGGAAGTAGAATTGGTAGAAAATAGTTGCTTTTTTATTACAATGTCATGATTTGAGTCACAGAAACACTATACGAAAGGGGATAACTCTTTTAGCACGTCCTCCAGTAAATACTTTTCTGAAAAGCTTCTCCCAACAATAATTCCTGGCAGGTCTGCCAGCGTTTCCTCTCCTCCTTTCTTTCCCTGAATTCAGAATTATCTGATCTCATCATCAGTGCTTTCTGCAACGTTCTGCAAATAAAGATGCTCTTGAGTACCCATAAAAAGTCAGTGCAATGATAAAGCCTATCACTTAGACTTCTCTAGGGCCAGTTGGCTGCCTAAGCAAATATTTAAAAAAGAGGAACCACTAATTAAATTTGTGATCTAAGATCATGCTTGATTCATGAGAATAGGGTCCATATCTATATTTTTCTCCATTATATTTACAGTTTAGAGTTGGCATATAGAAGATACCCCATACATTTGTTAAATGGATGGATGGATGGATGGATGGATAGATAGATGGATGGATGGATGAAATATTGACTAAAATATGAGGCTACTTCTGGCTGTGGAGGGCATGCTCATGCTTTTCTTTTTCTCCTGAGGGCAGGTGGAATAGGAAATCTTATATTGCTCTGTGGCTTCTGTGGTCTGTGTTATATCACACTGCCAATCTCACCTGTGAAGATTCCTGTACAATCTAAAAATGCTGCCAAACATATCACTATCTCTACTCCCTTTGTTGCCACTCCTGGAAGTATCTGCAAATAGTCTCTCTGCTAAAGAATACTCCTCTTTAGTTAGGGAGAAATATCTACATAAATGTCTTTCATTTATAAGAAACTTGTATTTCACCCAAATATAAATTGGAGCGTCATGTGGTCTAGTCTTTACAAGATATTGCAATCAAGAAAATACAAATTAGGGGCACCTGGGTGGGTCAGTCCATAAAGCGTCCAATGCTTAATTTCGGCTCAAGTCATGATATCAGGGTCGTGAGATCGAGCCTGGCCTCCAGCTCTGTACTGTGCATGGGGTCTGCTTAAGATTCTCTCTCTCCCTCTCCTTCTGCCCCCCACCCCCACTCACTCGTGTGTGCACACGTGCTCTGTCTCTCTGCTTCAAAAAAAAAACAAAAACAAAAAAAACTAGCAGCCAACATTAATTTAAAAATTTTTAATATTTTCTAGCAATTCTCAATCTTTTATTTTTTTTCAAACAATCTTTTACAGTCTCAGACAAGCCTAATCATAACCAAACACCTCTGATTTGTCTTTTACCATGTCTCACTTTTAGCATCTCAGTCTAACAGCTGCCTCAGAGCTTTTCTCTCTACAGCTCAGTCTCTACCTAAACCTCTCCCATCCAGCAAACCAAGTCTATAAGGCTCTTCTCATTTCTCTCCTTCCGCTTTTGTCTACCTTCATTTTCTCTCTCTCTCTCTTCTTTCTGATGAGTCAATCTCAATCCTTTTCAATACAAAGTCCCCATCGAGTTAGTCTGATCCTCTTCATAAAAACACATGACTGGAGTTGGTACATACAAAATTATCTTTGAGACAGGGAGAAGGGCTCTGAATTTTCACACATTACTAAGTTTTACAAATTATATAAAAATGGTTTTTAGCATAAGAAAACCCATAAATAAATGGAAAAGAGTGGAAAGGGAAGATAAGTGACTGGTGAGAGAGAGATATAGTTTCCAACAGAAAGTATTAGCCTTGCAAAAAAGCAAGATGATAAGGAAAAATGCTTAAAAGTTTAGGAAAGCCAGTGGAAGCAGAAATGAAAACAACTTGTGAAAAAATATGAAGCTTACACTGGAAAGAGAAGTGTAAGATTTTCACACTTGGATTCAGAGAGTGTAAAATAAACAATTGTGATGTCAGAGGGCTGAAACTGAGCACTGTTACCATTTGAACTTGGGAGTGGAGGAGACATGTGGAATCTAACCAGAAAAGACCAAATTAGTATACATTGTGAAGCACATGTTTGTAGCTGGAAAAGAGACTTCTCTAATTCTGGAGATAGGGTAGGGAGAGGTGAATTATTGTACTGATTTTAGGGATGAAACATTGAAACCAAATTTGCTTCATTTCATATAAATTGGGGGTTAGCAACTGAGTTGAATACATATAAAATGCTACATGAACAAGCCACAGCTAGCTTGTTTTCCCAAAACAAGCAACGTAGTAAATGTAGTAAGTGCAATGTAGTAAACTGGCTTTTGCAAATATAACAATTTGGATGATTTATCTTGGAAAGAGGGCACTGAAGCCAATCCTGAGAGCAAGTTTGTGATTTAAAGAGGGAAACAACCACCAATCTTGGGACTGAGAATCATGATGGATGAATTTGTCAGGAATGAACATACATTGTCTTCTTTTTGAGGTCTTCTTTAAGATTTTATCATAAAGAATATTATCTCTTAATACCAAAAAAAAAAATCTGGAGGGAAACCCTACCTTTTATTGGTCCTTCACAACTCACAAATCCTTCAGATCACAAGGATTCCCAACTATTTCCTTTAACAGGGAATGCTTTGGTATTTACAAAAGCTCTTCAGAAGGTGGAATCTGGGAGAAAATCCATCCCAATAAGACAAAAAGAATGAGCCATGTTGTTGGCTCATTACAGTTCACTTTGTTACTCATCACTGCTCCTTGAAACAAATTATTATTGAAAACTGTATCCACCCACTCCCATCCCAATCCTTTTGCTGTTCCAACCCAAGGGAGAGGTCCTGCTACTTTAGCTCATATACAATCTGCAGCTCTATGACTGAAATCTCTCGTCTGCCAAGAGGACTCTTGGGTACCAGACAGCATAGACACATCTTGATAGAAAAGGTTTTCTGATTGTCCAAGAGGAAGGGAAAAAAAGAAAATACCAGCTCTGTCTACAAGATAATCAGAGGCACCAAATTACAATCCTCCTCCCAGAAGAAAAGAAACAGCACTTCTACTGAGGGTATAATGGAAGTATGTGTTTGTGACAATCTATGTTTGAGGATACATGACAGCCAAAGCACAACATGAATATCGTAAGTAGCTATTACTTAACTCCTTGGGGACGTGTCTTGTTTGTCTCTAGATCTCTCACAGCACCTAGCACAGTTCCTTGCCTCTCAACTGTCACTGGCTAAGAGCATATTGGATTAGTTCATTACCAGGACAATGCCTTCAGAAATGAGGGATGGGTACCCTCTTATCCTTGTTGCACTTTAGATCAGTGATATCCAGCCTAAGAGAGTCCTGGGGCACAGGATTGGACTCCAGTCACAAAACTGGAAGAGCAAGTTACAATGAAGCCAACTGAGGAAACAGAACTCGTGGCGTCGGTAGGCATTGATGCCCTGCTCAGCACTTGAAAAATGCAAAAGGTGCCTATCACCAGACATATATCCAATTGATGCAGGATTGTTAGTTCAACCCTGCTGGGAAAATACGTTTATATTAGAACCAATTTATGAGGCGAAGTCCTTTGCCCCCATAACCTCTCATCCATCCATCAGGGGAACAAGCAGAACACTACAGCTCTGTCTGCAGACCAGACTTGTAATCAGGGCCAGGAGAGTAGAGAAGGAATTAGAGAGGCAAACACGTGTTTGTGGCAACTCCCTTCTCTGCAGACCTGTGCCCGGGGCTGGCCCCAAACACAGGGCGGCCACAACTTCTGTACCAGGACAGCATCCTGCTATACACAGCCAGGTCCAGGAGTGAGGGAAAACTGCCCACCCAGAGTAGATAATATCTGGAAGGAATGAGTATTTGGGAAAAGTCCCAGTGCTAGTTTAGGGCCAGCCAGTCTCCACCTTCTCTGGCCCCCTCCCACTGGTTCCTCCCCTTTCTGCGGCTCCAGTTCTTATAAAAACTCCACAACCTTTCACTAACAGCCTGCAGGAGCCTCTCTCCCCTCTGCTGCTGCACAAGCCAGTGAGACCAACCCACAGGACCACGGAGAGACCATGAAGAGCCTGCTCCTTCTCTCCATTCTGGCTGCCTTGGCCGTGGCAGCTTTGTGCTACGGTGAGAAGCCTTTCTCTGGTTTTGCTTTTCTGCCTCTGATTTCCATTTATTTCAATTTTTTCCTCTCCCTCCTCTTCTTCTTCCCTCTTTTGCTAATATAATCTTAAAGTACCATTAATTTAACATTTTTCCCAAGCTCTGTGGACACTGATTTGTTCCATCAAGTCTTTTTTACATCCTAAATATCCAGACTTTGGTAGGCAACATAACAGGCACGTCCTGTCTATAGTAAGTCATTGTACACCTAGAAACTTTGCTGTTTGGGAAAGAAGGTATCAAATTCCCAGCCCCCGAGTTCTCATTTTTAGGGATGTTTATTTATACTTTGGTAACAATTGGTTAAAGATATTTGTTAAATCACTCACCTTTAAGGAAATTAGTTTTCACAGGAGGTATTAAGTTTAGCCCTCAGCAGGGACAGGACAGTCTCCTAAACTTACTACATGTGTTCAGTGAATTAATTTAGAAACAAAGTTTGCATTTAAAGAATCTCAGAGAAAAATAGATGGTATAATTTTGATTGTCAAAAGATAAATTCTATAGTTTCTCTATGTTGTCTCTATGTTTCTCTGTGTTGTCAATTATATTTGTGTCTGTTCAAGGCTTATGAAAGAAAATCTGAAGCAAGATTATTTTTGGTCAATCTTATGTTTCAATTATCTGGATATTTAGATGTCCTTAAACCTCAATTACATTAACAACAATTTGTATTGTGCTTTGGACTCTTGAAATTATTCACATGCTTTCAGTAGCAGAGGATTTGGTTTCTTCATCTCCTTTTTAACTTTTTAAATAAAATCACTTGCTTACAAATAGAAACCTCCTATTGCCAAATTTACCTAATGTGCACAGGAAAGTGGTAGAAAGAAGAAAACTTGCTTTGGCGTCATCTCAGTTTTCTCCAATTGGCATCAGGCCCAGTGTGAGTCGTCAGCTGGAGCCAGTGGTTTCTGTGGCTGCCAGGTTAACACAGGTTCTTAAGAGGCTTTAGGAACCTCTTAGAAACCTATCTTGGTAGAGCCTGGCTGACCATCTCCCCACACTGGCTGGAGGACCTGGGCTATTTTTTGGACACTTCTGTCCCTTTCTCAACCCTGCTCTTGGACAGGTCCCAAATTAATCAGTGAAGTCTCTCTGGAAATTTGTATGTAGCGCTTAAATTATCTTCTTGCGCTAGCCTGAAGAGCTCAGAGTTCTGGGAAATTTTAGCCAAGACCATAGCCACTAGCTCCTTCAACATCAGAAAATAACTAAAATGTAGAGATACTCACATGAAGGACAGAGCTAGAAAAACAACTCATAAATCCTAAATGCCTGAAATTTGTAATAACCACACTGCTAAATATATTCTTTACATCTTTTTGGCTCTTTTCTCTCCTTCCTTCCCCAGATTTAGGCCATTGCCATGTGTGATAAATAATAATCATGGGAATCTTTCATTTTTTTATTCCAGAATCTCATGAAAGCATGGAATCCTATGAAATTAGTAAGTGAATATCTGATTTCTTTATTTAAACCTCATGTAACAAAGAATCCCTCTTCCTATTCTTAAATAGACAAAATGGTAATATATGGAGCTAATATAGGGAAGGGAATGAGGGCCTCTTTTAGAAAATTAAAATAAATTTTAAAATCTGATGGCTGTAAACATCACCGGATGAGCAATTGTTTAAGCTTGAAATAGTGTAATGTGGCATTAAAACTGCATTCATCAGAGTTGGAGGCATTTGGACATTTTAAGCTGGCATCACATCAACCACATGGATGGAAAAACAAGAAGTAATGACAAATGGCAAAGTATGGAATTAGAGGCCTAGTCAGCTGGGAAACCGCAGCCGTCAGCATTATGTTGAATGTTGTTGAATATCCGGACTTATAAAGACTGAGTATAGGAAGAAGTAACGTATCACTCTCATTTTCAATTTGTTCATTATTGTCATAATATTTACATAGTCCATTTCTGGTAATCTAAAGTTATGCTTTCTAAGTCCTCAGGACAGAGAGAATTTCTCCTTACAGGAATTAAAAACACACCGACTAGGAATACCAAATTGAGAAAGGCAAAGCGATTGCCTGAGGTGAAATAAACAAACAAAAATTGCTGTGGCCTATGTAACAAGTCTCTAAAAAACATATGCTCATCTCTTTTAATCAGGCAGTTTGTGCAATCTGCTTTATCTTTCCCTCTAACTTTTGTAGATCTCTAGTTACCTAACTAAAATGCATGAATGAATGAGTTTCCAAATATATTTATGTCAGGGAATATTCAAATATTTTCAACTACTCTTCCCCTAAAACTGCAACTACTTATTTTTTTCTTTTCAGATCCCTTCATTAACAGGAGAAATGCCAATACATTTATATCTGCGCAACAGAGATGGAGAGCTAAAGCCCAGGAGAGGTGGGTAACAAAACTTGATGAGGGGAGATCATTGTTCCACATTGATCCAGCATCTTGGATCTGAACGGAATGAGAAACAGGTTTTAATCATACATATTATTTCTAATTGTGTCCCAAAATCAAAGAATTTAAAAACAGTATACAGACAACTGAATTTCAAGACGACTAGCTTGTGAAAGACCCAGAAAGCAGAGGTAGAGAGGAGGGAAAGAAGGACAGAAAGAAAATTTCTATTTTTGTCAAAAAAAAAAAAAATCCCCCTGTTCCACCTTTCCCCCTGTTAAGTATCTCCAATATTGGGGGCTGAATAGGATCTCTCTCCTATATTTTCTTATTCTTTCTCCCCACCCCTTTCTTTTTTTTTTTTTTTTCTCACTCTATTTATGCTTCTCATTTTGGACCTCTTTTTTTCTTCCCTACTTTCTAGGATCAGAGAAACCACCAAGCCCGCCTATGAGCTCAACCGGGAAGCCTGTGATGACTTCAAGCTTTGCGAACGCTATGCCATGGTTTATGGATACAATGCTGCCTACAATCGCTATTTCCGGCATCGCCGAGGAGGCAAATGAAATTTAAAAAAGTCTCTTTCCTTCCAGAGCCTGGTGCCTGGTTTTGTATTCCTTTACAGTAGCATCATCGAACTACATAAACACATACAAATTGCTTATTTCTTAAATGTTCTTGTCTGGCTGTTGCCCTCCTTCCTGCCCCCCAGATCAATAAGCAATGAAAGTGCAATGTAGTGAAAGGTCAAAAGAGAATTAAGATGTGTGATTATTATTACATAATAAACTCTTGGATGGATACTTTCATTTTGTGAGTCTGATTTCTCGTGGAAAAAAAAATGCTGAGATATTTCAGTCATGGCCCACCTAATCCAGAATAGGACATTCCCTTAATCATATCCTAGTGATGATTAGAAACCTAACTACATAGAAGAATGAAACTCAGAAGACACTCAGCCATAATTTGTCTAGACTCTACCTTGGGACTGGTGAATGACTGCCTCCTATTTCTTGTTTTCCAGGCTTTTCAAACAGCATAGATGATTAATCATATGATTTTCCTGCTCCCAAACTTTAAATGGTCCTATTCTTTCTGTGTGGATTCCAGGCTCTATCCTGGTTCAGCACTCTCATCACGATTTCTTGAATGCCATCATTTCCTAAGATGTCACAGTTGAGACTCACTTAGGCCAAGAAAATGTCTGTTTTCACAATCACCAGAGATTTTTTCAAGAATTCAGTAGTGGAATTTTTGAGCTGGACAAGATTCTATAACTCCCTTATGCCTGGTTCGCCAATGAGGAAATGAGGCCTCAGAGTCCCCTGCTTGGTAGTTTGAGACAGAGACCAGGACATCTCAATCCCACTTCAGATTTTGCTCTTCTCTGCCATGAGAAGAGCAACTGTGCATGCCCAACTTTTACATCCATTCCTTTTGGTAGGCCCACTGCCTTCATTTCCTTAGTGAATGATCTTTTTTATTCCTCAAAATCCAGCTCAAAACTCAAGTACTTTATGGAATTAGTAATGATTAAATCTGCCCACCTCCTATCACACTACCCAAGCCAGTATCTAGCTTACACGGATACATATAAAGAGTCAAGTTACAATTATATTATTCAATTCATATATTTTTTAAAGATTTTATTTATTTATTCATGAGAGAGAGAGGTAGAGACATAGGCAGAGGGAGAAGCAGGCTCCCTGTAGGGAGCCTGATGTGGGACTTGATCCCAGGACCCCAGGATCATGACGCGAGTCAAAGGCAGATGCTAAAACACTGAGCCACCCAGGTGCCCTCAATTCAGATTTTATTTTTTTTAAGATTTTTATTTATTAGGATCCCTGGGTGGCGCAGCGGTTTGGCGCCTGCCTTTGGCCTGGGGCGCGATCCTGGAGACCCGGGGTCGAATCCCACGTCGGGCTCCCGGCGCATGGAGCCTGCTTCTCCCTCTGCCTATGTCTCTGCCTCTCTGTCTCTCTCTGTGTGAATATCATGAATAAATAAATAAAATCTTTAAAAAAAAGATTTTTATTTATTTATTCATGAGAGACACACACAGAGAGAGGCAGAGATATAGGCAGAGAGAGAAGCAGGCTCCATGCAGGGAGCCTAATGTGGGACTCGATCCCGGGACTCTGGGATCATGCCTTGAGCCAAAGTCAGACGCTCAACTGCTGAGCCACCCAGGCGTCCCAATTCATAGTTTAATTAAAGTTTCTTTTTATGTATATTTCTTTGACTAACATTATGGTGAGAAATGGCAATTATTGGTTGGTACTATATTCTGTTCACAAAGGATTTTCAATGAAAGCTTAATAAAAAAAGACTGGCTAGTCATCCCTGGGAGTGATCACCCAGTTTTGAAACTGTTACATTCATCATAATAGCATGTGTTATTTAATTTAAACCATCATTATATTAATATAATGATGAGTGTTTTATCATTTTCTGAGCTATTTTTCATGTGATAACTCATTGGGTCTTACAACAGACTAGAAGATAGATGATATTTATTAGATGGTAAAATTGAGACTCAGAGAGGTAACTTTCTGAAGACATTTTAGTAAACGCAGTGGTGTATCACTCAGGTTGAGATATTATTCCCCTGGCCACCAGATATATTGACAGCTGATGATTCCCAGCTAAGGACATGTGTGCAATTCTCTACAGATCTCTAGAGCTCTCTTGTGTGCATCTCTCTCCCCTCTTGTACTCTTCTCTGTGATCATCAGCCACTTCTCTTTACTCTCTGCTCTTTCAATTTAGAAAGACCATAAAGTTCTGCTGGGTTCTATTTTCTATCCTACGGCCTGTAAACTTTCCAATACATTGAGGTACCTATGGGACTCATCCTCATTTGCATCAGTGTCAAGGAATACAAAGGAAGGCATGAAATGGGGGGACAGGAGAACAAAAAAAAACCCAATGGGACATTGAAAACAAATGGCAAAATGATAGACTTAAACCTATCACAGTAATCTCATTATATATAGTCTAAACAGTCCAGTTATTTTTTGGCTTTACGTATAGTACAGATCTTATTGGTTATTTTTTTATTATTTTTGCTTTAAACAATTATTTTTTAAAAGGCTTGGATAATACAAAAGAACATCTCATGCATTTAGCCATAGTAGTTTCCATTTCCGCAGCTCCTCATTCTTCTGTATACATCCAGATTTCCATCTGGTCCCATTTTTCATCTGCCAGATAGACTTCCTTTAACATTATTTATAGTGAAGGTTGTCTGGATTCTTTCTGTTTTGAAACTTTGCCTTCATATATGAAATATGTCTTCACAGCATATCAAATCCTATGTTGTAAATTGTTTCTCTTTTAAGATGTTCCACTGTCTTATAGTTTGCATTATTTTTGCTATAAATCTGTCATCATTCTTTTCTTTATTCTTCTGTATGTACTGTGTCTTTTAAGTCTTGCAGCTTCTAAGGTTTTTCTCTTTATCACTGGTTTTGACCAAAGTTATTATAATGTCCCTTGTTATGCTTTTCCTTATTTGTCTTGTTTTTGAGGTAGGATTTAGTGATTCATCAGTAGCATGTAACATCCAGTGCTCATTACATCACATGCCCTCCTTAATGCCCATTACCCAGTTACCCTATCTCCCCTCCAACAACCCTTAGTTTGTTTTCTATAGTTAAACATCTCTTATTGTTTGTCTCCCTCTCTGATTTTGTCTTATTTTGTTTTTCCTTCCCTTCCTCTATGTTCATCTGTTTTGTTTCTTAAATTCTACAATAAGTGAAATCATATATTTATCTTTCTCTGACTGACTTATTTCACTTAGCATAATGCCCTCTAGTTCCATCCATGTGCTTGCAAATACTTTCATTTTTATAAGTTGCTTTTTCTCTGTGTATTTAATTATTGACAGTTTCTTTTAATGTGTCTACAGGCTTGCTAACTTATCTTCAATAGTCTAATTTACTGTTAATCCCATCTAGTGCATTTTTCACTTCAGACATAATTTTCACTTACAGAAGTTTGATTTGGGTGTTTTCATATTTTCCATGTCTTAACTTTTTTAACATCTTAGATATAGTTAGGATAACTATTTTAATGTCCTTGTTTGCTAATTCTAATATCTGTGTTACTTCCATATTGGTTTTGATTGGTTGATCATTCTACTTGTTATGGATCATAATTTCCTACTTCTTTGAATTCTGGGTAATCACCAGACATTGTAAATTTTATTTTATTTTTTGTTTCTGGATAATCTTGTATTTCTGTAAGTATTCTTAAGCTTTGTGGGATGCAGTTAAATCACCTGGGAAAAGCTTCATCGTTTTTAAATTTTGCTTTTAAAATGAGACCAACTCAGTTTATAATCTAGGGCTAATTCCTTCCTCCACACTGAGGAAAGACTTTCTGAGTGCTGCACCCAATATCCCATTACTGGGTGGTAGGAATAGGCAACAATACCAACACTGAGTTAGTGCCAGCTTCTGTTCCCTCTATTCCTCTTGGATGACTATTTTCTTATATTTATGTGCCAATCAGTTCTCTTCTGCATAGCTAGATATCTAGAGATCTCCCTCTCAGTAACTCTCTCCTCTCCAGCAATTTTCCATGTAAATTGTAACCCCCATATTCTCCTAGGACTTTCAATTCATCTTGACTCAAAACGTCCACCATATTTCACTTTGGTTCCCTGCTCCCTGAGTCATGCCCTGGAAGCTCTCTTAAGGCAATAAACTGAGGCAATCACAGGACTCAATTTGCTTGTTTCTCATCCCTTAGGGATCACCATCATCTTTCATTGATTGATGTCCAGGGTCTTGAAAATCATTGTTTCATATGTATTATCTGTTTTCTTTAGTTATTTCTTTAAAAAAAAGAGTAAATCCCATTTGAGATATTGTCTAAAAGCTCACTATCAGACTACTCTGAATGGTCATCTCAGCCTCAGAGTTTCCTCCTAGAATTGACTGACATATTGATTGGAATTGTACAAAAGCTCAAATGTTCACCATGCCTAGAACTATGTTCCTCATCTCTCTCATGTTGGACACAAAAGTACTTCCCTATAAACCATCTGCACACAAATCTCCAAGCCTTAGAGTTTGTTTACCAGGAATCTCTGTGATAGTCATTTAGTTGGTAAATAGGGGGACCAGGGTCTTCCAGATCCAGACTTCTTATTTTTTCAATTATACAATAGTTTTTGAGCTGTCAAGGAGCTCAGCAATAACCTAATTCAACCTCCTCATTTTATGCTGAGCAATTTGAGAGCTCAGAGACTAAATGACTATCCCAAGGGCAGGTAATTTTATTCTCTTGAGAAATTCACTTGTACTGACCTCATAACAGCCAGTTTTCAGAAAGGGTTATGTACAAATGGTCCCTATATTGTACCAACCTTTCATTATATAGAGTCACACTTTCCACCCTGATGAAGCTGTCTGAATGTAGTTTCAAGTCAGTCAAAATTTTTATCTCTCCACCTTCTCTGTTCCATTTCTTTTTTTGAGATACTTTTGTTTTTCAGAGCTAGGACACATGAAGTGACAGGTCACAAGCCTTATTTTCTTCCCCTTTTATGAGCTTGGTAAGTAAGGCCTTTCATGGAGTAGTATATCCTGGGAACCAAAAATGCTTAAACACAGGCAGAGTACTCTTTTTACACCCCATTAAAGCCATCTTACATTTTAGCATAGTGTTTAAGAATAAGAACTTTGGAACTCCTAGCTTCACCACTTAGAACTGAAATTCTTGGGAAAGTTAATTAATCTCACTGGGCCTCAATTTCCCTATCTGTAAAATAAGATTATTCTAGTATCCACCTTAA